GCTCCCACTCGACCGCGTTGAGGATCCGAATATCATCAATACGATCATTTCTGCAATCGAGAAACAGTCTAATCCTCCTTCATAATTCCCATCAATTGGTTTTGTAACGCTAAATCTGTTTTCATCCTAAAATTGTCCACTTTTAATGAAATGAAAACGACTGCAATTCGATTTGAACTTATCCTGATTTCAACAATTCAATTAACCATTTCATTGGGTCATTTAGTTTCCTTGAGTACCTTCCTACCAGACATGCATGCTCAACGTGCATGCTTAACATGCATTCTCGTGTGGGGTGTTCTCTCACTCTTCAATAAACTGGGGTGCCCAGGAGAACCGAAGAAAGTCATAGCGAGGGAAAAATGCTGAACAAAGGACGGTTTAGGAGGGTGCTTCAACAGGAACACGTGGCATGTGTGCCTTGGTGCTTCTGAAGTCTCAGGACCCGTCACAAAGTCTTAAACGCTCTTGCTCACCAATTCTCGCTCTTTATGATTTATTTCCTGCGCCCTGTCACCAACAGAGGCCTGAAGTACCTGTTTATTGTGGTCTTGGCGATGTCGACGTGTTTTTTTGTTCATGTTGTGTATACATTTTGTTACTCTCTGGGTTTTTCCGTCAACTGCCGTGATATCGCTGTTTCTATTGACTTTGGCTACCTCCTACTTCTCCCTCCGGGGTTCTGCCCTCCTCCTGTTATCCCTTACACTCTTCACACTTTGGTTCTCGAACTACCACTTTGCGTCCAGGGGACTTTTGTCCTCACAGATAGAGTAGTAGATGGTGCGAGCGTATACTTAGTGAGGGAAGCAAATTTCAGGGATCTTCCACGCCAATGCCTCATGACCACTTCTCATCAAACTTTCCTCTGCCGTTTTTGAATGTGGGTTTCCCTGCTGTGGGGAATTCATTCAAGAGATAGTTCACAAATGCTTCATCTCTGACTCGACGGTCAACCGCATTAGATACAATCGACAGACCAAATTTCATAAAAAGGTGCATCAGTCTTCTGTTATCCGGACTACATCTTAAGTGATTTCCAATGGCTTTTAGCGCGAAAGTGATCTTGAAGGCACGTTTTATCAAAAACGTCACGGGTTTATTCTTCTACTCCGGCAGCAAACAATACGGGGAGTTACCACAGATGCCCCGACCTCAGTGGCAACATCGTCGACCGCGATTTCGCCAACTAATTGTGATTGCGCAATGCGCAGGTATATCTATGAAATCTTTACCCGCAGCACCCTCACGCAAAACACATTCAATCTTTCCTTCCTTGCCCTAGTAATAGGAATTGGTTCTTGATGTATGTGTGAGTGGAGGTCCTGATGTTTTGCTCCGCGCAGTACTTGGTACTTTGCATGCCCTGTGGGACAGAAATACCCAGACCCTTCATTTTCTCATTTCCATTCTGAAACTCAAATGAATCTAATCCGCCAACGTCGTCAACTGGCGACTGTTTCGAGGGAAACGTCGTGTACGAGACTTCTCAAGAGCTTTTCCAACTTTGCCCTGGTGCTACAGCCATTGCCGTCCTCAGAGACTACGAACAATCTCCAAGCTTGCGGACAGCCCCCCGGAAGATCTTCAATATGGGGAAACTATGGAAGGCCGAGAGAGGTCCTGTAGAGATATTGAAAAGTATGGTGATGATCCTTGTGCGAGCTACCGATTCCGCATAGAAAACAACAGAGCCCTTTTTCCGAGGAACTTCTTGGACAAACCAAGAATGATTTGCGGCAAGAGGTGCTATCCACCCATCTGTAAGACCCGACTCTATCATCCAGAAAACTTTAATACTTTTTCAGAGAGATTCAAACAACCTTCGTAATCCTTCGCCATCTAAAGATACAAACTATCCCAAACCCTGGGGATTTTTTGAGTCCGCTGAAGAACGGAAGCGGCGGTTTTTTAATGGGGATCCCTGCATAATCGGGATAAAACGAGCCCCCTAAGGTAAAATGTGCTATCCACCCGGCTGTAAGATTTAATCCTTTTTCAGATGAGGATTTGACCAGCTTTGCCTCTCTACCAGTCACTAGCTCTCTACCAACCAGCACCTCTCTACCAACAACCAGCTCTCTACCAACCATAGAAGCCAATCGACCCACCACCAGCTCTCTACCAACAACCAGCTCTCTGCAAGAACAGGAATTCTGGTCAAACGACGATCTACTCGGATTTGACGACTGGAACAAACGGGCCAAGTACTGCAAAACCATGCTAAAGGAGAAAAAGCATCCTTGCGCGAATCTCAGGCGTATTCCTTATGGAATGACAATGTATCTGTGGAACACGGTGGACAAACCAGCAAGGGTTTGTAAGGAAATGTGCATTCCACATAAGGAGTATCCATCCGTCTGTAAGACCCAACTCTATTTTCCAGAAAGCTAAATCCTTTTTCAGGGAACGGTCCAAGCGCCCCACCAACGAAATTCACCACCATGAGTCGCAACATACCGGATGAATCCACCAATACGAGTCAGGATGAATTCACCGCTTTCCGTCTCCCCATGCTCGATGACTTGAACAGTGGTAACGACTCATGGAGGAACTCAACAATCCATAACCTAGCGGCGTCATTCAACCCCACCTCGAAAGGCCTCGGCAATAACCCCAACGCCCTCATGCAGTACTCAGGAATCTCTAGCGCGAGGCCTGGAGCAGAACAACAAACAACTTTCCTCTTGTCTGTTTTTTTTGTTTAGTTGTGCAACAGGTTTAGTTCTAATTGACTGCCAGCAAACGTTTCTCATTTTTCATGGGTGGTAGAATTTCTCATTTTAGTATAGCGACAGTTTTCTATGCCAAATTGCCCGAATGAGAAACCCCCAACAGTGACCATTTTTCTGGCCTCTCTAACTTGCAATGGAAACCTAGAGATGAAAAAGAGACACAATTACTCTTTTTGGTTGAGAACTTCTGGTTGGTTAGCAACGAGACTGTAATCATACACTTGTTTGGCAGCGATTTAATCGATTTTTCTACTTAAATACTTGAGATTCTAAAGAATAAAGACAACTAAAGATTATCTTCATGTCTTGTCATCATGACATCAATCCATAACGGATGGTGACTCACCCAAATCGACAATAACGGATCGACAACGGATGGTGACACATCCAAATCGACAATAACGGATGGTGACTCATCCAAATCGACAATAACGGATGGTGACTCATCCAAATCGACAATAACGGATGGTGACTCATCCAAATCGACAATAACGGATGGTGACTCATCCACATCGACAATAACGGATGGTGACTCATCCACATCGACAATAACGGATGGTGACTCATCCAAATCGACAATAACGGATGGTGACTCATCCAAATCGACAATAACGGATGGTGACTCATCCAAATCGACAATAGCGGATGGGACTCATCCAAATCGACAATAGCGGATGGGGACTCATCCAAATCGACAATAGCGGATGGGGACTCATCCAAATCGACAATAACGGATGGTGACTCATCCAAATCGACAATAACGGATGGTGACTCATCCAAATCGACAATAACGGATGGTGACTCATCCACATTTCCTCAAGAATCATAATGACTTCTTTATCTTGTGATCATCTTTATATCACAAGATAAATATCAGAAGGGACATTCATCTGGACGTCGTATTTTTTCGAGATGATCCCAATTCGAGAGCCACTTCTGGTCCAACTTACCTCTCAACAATGACTGAAGACATGCTATAGCCATTTCTCTATAGTTACTGGGCGTAACTTGCCAGTCAGCCAGACGCAAATATCTCCACCAATGAACGTAAGTCGGTAGATATGTGAGCAACCCGTATGAGTCATGATCTCTTTACCTCGCTGAGGGATATAAACATGTTCTCGATTAGAAAATTGTCACTACTGCAACAGATCCCCCTTTGAAAAAATCTCTCCCAACCCATATCGCAATGCTCATAATCAAAGATTTCCCCGTGATCTTATTCCGTAGGGGAGGGCGGTGAACGAGGAATTTCGATTTGGCCCAAAATATCGTTCCATTATTTGTCAGGACTTTGGGACAGTTGGGAATGTATTTCCTGTCAATATTTAACGGAGGAAATATGATTAGCATGTCATCTCCGAAGTTTGACCTTTAGGGCTTAAATTCTTATCAAGGACTGTTTGGAACTTTATTTCTGTTGTCCGTATCATTGTGTGTCTCACTCGAACCGCTTTGAGCGGATGCGACTCGACGCCCTCTGCAGTTGACTGATCGCTTTGACGATGAAAGCGAAATTTCATGTCTGTTAATTCGCCGTTCTAGTGAAAACAGCATACAAGTAGGATAATGAACCAGCTGCGGTAAAAAGCAATTTTGGAAGTAAAAAGCAATTTTGGAAGTAATTTTGACATATTTAATGCTATAATAATTACGGTCTGAGCTTCGCCTGCCACTTGGCAATTGCGTCATCTATTGGAGACATATAAGCTTGGTTCTTCCAATGAGCCGCTTCGAGAATAAAGAGATTCTTGAGAAGATCATCTGAGAAAATTTGGCGCAAAATCATTCCAACAGATTTTTCAAAAGGCCATAGTTGAACATTTCCGCTGGTCTGCAACCCAGCTGAGCGCCTCTTGTCTCTCATATGTTTCTTTGGGCGGACAAGTCCATCGTGAACCTCAACAGCGTGGCGATCAGAGAACATATCAAACTCCACCACCTCGTTTGCTGTAGTTGCATCAAGGCCCAGCGCTGTTAGCAATTGAACCACATACGTCAATCTGAAGCAGGCGTGTATTGTATTGTAAGTCAGAGGAATTGCCCATTCCGGAGTGTTTGAGTTTAGAAGATAATTGAGGTGGAGGTGATCGAGCTACGAGCCTCATTTTCACCAAATCAACGTCCATCTGGCAAACTGAGTTCGCAATTTTTTGGATGTCCTGAGCAAGCAATATTAAAAAAAAAATTGTGTGCTCCCCCGAATGGTTCTTACTGTGAACATTGTCTTCGATTTCTCTTGGAAGCCACCCAATTTTTCTCAATTCATGCACGATGTTGTTCACACTGCTGCCAACGACGCGCAATTTTGTCTTGATACGAAAGAGATTGCTCTGAAAAGTCGCAATAGAAAACGAAGCAGAATGAACCACTTACATCTCCCACTTCTTGGGGAACACTTGCTCCCACAAATATTGCGTCTTGATTCGCTGGAAATTGTTGTTGAATAATTGAAGATTGGATCAATTTTGCGCACTTTTGTGAATCTCCAATACCACGAATCTAAAAAAACAGAAGATCCAGGAATGATGTTGCCGTGTTCAAGTGCTCATAGAATCAGATCAACAATATGACTACGGATCTGTGATGCAGCTAGATGGTGTTCTTATCTAATAAGTGACATCCAGATGAATGTCAAGTCACGGATTAGCTCCAGAATTACTACTGGGCCGCACATACATGGTGAGCGTCACTCTACAAGGGTTTACCTCTTGACAAGTTCCGATCTTCACTCTGTCGAAATCACTTTCGCTTGTTGAATTCAATCTCACTTCTTCGCAAATTCCTCTCAGTCGCGCTAATTGAATTGCTGGATTCAACTGTAAACTACAGAAGCCTGCTGGACGCTCCAACGCGTTATCAACGGGCTCAATCAGTTTTCTAGAGGAATTCAGGTCTAATTCAAATGCATTTCCTATCTGGCATTTTTGACGCCATTCAGGATTGAAACATGGAAACAAACAAACACCCCGCTTTAGTCTCTCTTCCGTGCAGTAACGCTTGACTGCCATTGACAAAGCCCTGGTTGTTCCATAGTTGGAAAAGGATGTTGCGAAAAGGGAAATTGAATGTGGAGGAATTGTTGGATGCTTCAGTTGAATATCTGTTGTCCGGATTGGGCCATCAGTAATGGGGTGAGGTACCGGAAATGCAACTTGAACTGTGGCTTTTCCAATCTCCAGAATGCCATCAAAAATCTTGTACAACTCTGGGACCACTGCACCATTACTTCCTTCTGTTGCATTAACGAGAGCAGGAATGTTTTCGTAATTGATGGAGAAAAAAGCATCTAAGGCTTCTGTAATGCCAGATCGAGCGGATGCCATTTGACTAAAGAGAAAAAGAGTCCGTTTTGCTCTTGCATGAAGTCTTACGGTGTAGTGAAGAGATTAATCCTTGTGGCATCTTTATAGTCATTTATTGCGCGACGAATAGCATACATAATTGTCTCTCTGGTTACAGTTGGAACGTCCCTTGATTTGGTTGATCGGAATAATACGGGCACGTCGGGAAAATAGAGTGAATCGCCCTCCTAAACAAAAAAACGAAACCAATAAGGAACTGAATTAGAAGCCTGCGAATTGCAGGAAGCCCGAAAATCACCAAACACGAGCCATTGAACGAACCTCTCTCCATAAAGTCTGAACAATTGCTGTTATCGTCTGCAAGGTGCTGTTCAATGCAACCTTAATATCAGCAATCTTCCTCTCGGGGCTCGTTTTCCTTCGCACATAAAATTCCAGTTCACCGAAAACAGCGGGACCAATCAGGACGGAATGTTCAGCTTTCTTCTTTAACGATTTCCACTCCATTCGTCGAGGAGAGTCAAAACAAGCTCTTGAATTGATCGTCCAAATTTGCACAAAGTGATCAACAATTCCTTGATCGATTACCGCAAATAATTGTTGTCTCACAGAACAACCTTTTTCCAGCTTTGCAAGTTTAAGAAAAAATTCGTGTGCCTTCTCCTTCCGTCTTTCCGGGAATCTTTCAGTCGCAACACTCGTCCGTTCTAAATTTGCTGTCAGCCATCCCACGAACTCGTCAACTTTAATCCGGTCCCCCATCGCTAAAATCCAGAGAACCAACTAAACCAGTTTCTGATGTTTTGATTTCGTCGCTGTCTCCTTTTCCGTTCACCAAAAAAAAGAATACAATGCTGACAAGTAGCCGCAAACATGGGCACATCATCATGGGAACTTGAAAAGCTCAGAAAAAAATTACGAAGAAGGTAACGTCATGAAAACGACCTGCCTTGAAAAATTACTTGAACCAACTTCAAGAACCAACTAACCAACTGGAGGTTCAGCGGCACGGCACGTCTTGCAGGTCTGCGTGTCATGTTTCGGACAAACCAGCTATTTTTGGAAAATGCGTTTGGTTCAAGGGTCTCAGAAATCTTCCTCCTAAATCTGGCTTAAAAATTGCGTAACTCCAAGAGAATAAAAATATTTTTTATCTCGAGGATGGAGCTCCATTTGCTCGCAAGGGCATGGAAATCTGGACACACGGATATATACGGGGTGGAGGATTGCTCCTGCGCGTACCAAATCACCTCAAAGACAGAAAACTGAATAAGACAGTGTCCTGGTTGGCAACAAATTGTTTTACACAAACTTCGTCCAGTAGGAGCAAGAGTACTGACTCGTTGGTTCTGACTTCATGACAAACATTGATTAAATTGTTGAACTTATCCAGCGTAGTTCTGACTCAGTCCAGCGTATTCTGGGACAGCGAAGAACAATATTTGATAGTGGTTTTTGTTAGTGATATTTTGTGTAGTGCAAAATCTCGTTTTGGGACATGAACCAGTAAAATTAAGTCAGGATCTTAACACCTCCCCAGATTGTAGCGAATCATACTTCTTCGTCTGAGCTCATTGATGGAGCAGAGAGAGAATCGTTCATGAAGGAATTTCGGAGGATCTTGAACCGTGGAGCTGCCAGGGGCTTGGTAAGAAGATCGGCAAGCATTCTTTCAGTTGAAACATAAGCGAACACCATCTTATGTGCTTCCTCGTTAATATTTTGAGACCATTTCCGAAGCTTGGCTAATTTCGATCCAACTGCCCGATGACGTGCGACAATGTGACCGTTGACGTTGAGAAGATCAAGAAGCGGTTGATTGTCGTTGTACATGAGGATACAATTTCTTGCAATAAGCTTGTGATCAACTGTGCTTTCTGGCAAAGGATGAAAGTGGCAATCCCTTCAGCTTCCGTCGTTGATGTCGCTGTTGCCGTTTGACGGCTGCATTCCCAAATAATTGGTGAATCTTGACGGTTTAGCATGATGAGACCGCCTGTCATGGACTTCCAATCACGGGTAGAAGCAAACGATGCGTCGGCGTAACAGGTGATCGTTCCTCCAGAATCTAGATTTTTCTTGTATGTAAGCCCAGGCATGTACCCTTAAGGTATCGCAGCACCCGTTTAACTGCAATCACGTGTACTTGCTGGAAATGCATTGACGTGTTGGGATAATGCAAAAGCGATATCGGGTCTGGTAGTGTTGACCAAGAAATTAAGGGATCCAATGAGGGATGCGAACGGAAAATCGTCAGAAGGAGTCCCCTTCTGGGTGAAAAGTAATAGCTGTTTCCATTGGAGTTGCAACCGCATTACAATCAGACATACTATACTTAAGGAGGAGATCTCTGATGAAGGATTCACTGAAAACGTGAATTCTTGACCAGTCTTTCGAGCAATCAATGTCCATCCCAAGCAATTTTGTTAGTGCTGACTCAGTCATCTTCAGACAGTTGTTGTTGATTAGTTCTACAAACGATTGCATATGTCTCTCGTTTAGGAAACCCCCGACGATATCGTCCACAAATACGACAAGCAGAGCTTCAACTCCCCAGATGACTGATTCAGCTAGAACCAAAGCGATGGGTCATTTTTGGACTGCTGATAGATTCTTGAATCTCGGAGAATGGAAAAGATGAACTGATTCCAGAGGTGAGGAGATTCTTCGAGTCCATACATAGCCTTTCGCAGCCTTCCATACAGCATCGGGTCGTTGTTGATCGATGTATCCTTCTGGTTGGTAGACGTACGCTTCGTGTCCAATTGGAGCATTGATGAATGCTGAAGAAATGTCAAAATGCTTTAGTCGTAAGTTGTGCTGAATGCTGAAAGCGAGAGCAGTTCTGACTGTTGGAAATGATGCCATGTCTGCATAAGTTGGAGCGTCTTGTGCTGAGGGGAAAATTCCTTGAGCAACAAGCCGTGCCTTGTAGTCGATGGGGACGCCGTTAACATCTCTTTTGATTTTCCAAAGCCCACAATGTTGGAATGACTTTTTGTCCTTTTGGTGGTTCAACGAGTTCATACCATCGAGTTCATCAAATTTCGCCCTTTCTTTGTCTGTTGCCTTTGGGAAGAAAGTCGCCCAAGGCTGAGAATGCATTTGTGGGTGAGACACCTCCCTCTTTCTACTGCTTGTATCACTTCTTCGTAGCGATTGCCTTTGGTTGACCGTTGGGAAACGCGCGTTGAGACTTCAGGAGTGGCACTGTCTGAAGCTGTTGAAGGCTGAGGCTTGAGCGTTGGGTGGCACTGGCAAGAGTGAGGAATCAGGCGCGAGTCGAAGAGATACTGGCAGTGGATGCGGATGGGTTGGTTGCGGTATCTCTTCCGTGATGTTGAAATCTGAGAAGAAATCTGAAGTTTCTGAAAATGGAAAGGCGTCATTGAGTGTAATGGGAATGTCAAGACGATAAGGCATGTCATTTTCGTCGAAAATCATGTTGCCGACGGTCTTCGAGCAATCCATTGTGTGTCAGGATGTGGTTTAAACACTCCAGAATTGTCGTTGTGATAGAGGAATACACCAGGATCAGCAACGAGGAGCAAGCTTGTCAGTTGTTCTGTTGTGTACCCATACTCGACATCCAAATCGGACGTATGCTTAGAGTGGCGCGTGACGAATCGTGTAAGGGAAACCAGTGCATCAGAGGAATACTGTTGTTCGCGTGGATTCTCTTAATAATGTACATGCCATGGCGCGCTGCTTGGGGCCAATAAACCAAAGGAAGTCCTGAATCGATTAGCATCGACCTGACTTGCGTGATAACATTCCGAATTGCGCGTTCTGCGAGTCCGTTTGATTGTGAGGACTGCGCATCAGACATGTGTATCTGAATGCCGTGATCAGCGCAAAAGTTTTGAAATTCGGATTCAAGAAATTCACCCTCCTCGATCGGATTGAATGTACCGCGGAAATCTGTTGCATTCCTGTTGCCATGTCAAAAGCGCGTTCTGAAGAGTTGATGACACCTCTGATTTGTGCTTCAACGCTTTAACAAAGTTCCGTCCCGAACCGTAACAAACCATGACCAGGAGATAGAGTTCTCCTTCGCGACCTTCGTGACGAGTTGGTCCAAATAGATCCACGCAAACAGCTTCTCCGGCCGAGGGTTCATATCGCTCATGTTGGCGAGGAAACGGCAACACAGTAATTTTGCTTTGGAGCACAAGTTTTGCAGAAAGGAAAATTTACAGAATACCCGAGGAGCTTCATGACTTTCTTGGAGACGTGCCCAAGCTTGCAGTGACGAAGAACAGCCTCTCTTGTGGACTTCGATCTTGCTTCAAAAGCTGGAAAGTGTCTGGTCAACCTTGATCTTGTAAACCCCAGTTGTTGACGTGGTGATTATGTCAATGGTATCTTCATTGTAGACGACGTCCGGGTGATGTTCAGGTGGATATAGATGACAGCTATTGTCCTTGAACATGATCATGAACCCCTTTCTTGGATGCGAGTTGAAAAAACCGACAGAAGATTGTGGCCATCTGAGGGCAAACTAGCACATTTTCAACGCTGATTGAGGGCGGATCGTCCGAACGAGTGTGAAGTGACCCCAGAAATCGTCCCACTTGATGTCACAGGTACTGTGCGTCCATCAGCAACTTTGATTACTCCGAGGCCCGACGTTGAAAGTGTGGTGGCGACGGATTCTATGGTTCGCATAGCTCCCGAGTCGATGACGAACTCGACCGTTTCAGGTGTTGCGACACGAGCATGGGAAGCGTGCGTTGTTGAAAGAGCCTCATGACTGGTGTGGCAGGCGAGGTGTACCTTTTCTTGGTTTGAATTGGTACTTCGGTTCTGATTTTGATTTTTCCGCTGATTGAAAATTCTTCTCGTATTACACTCCTCTGAAGTGTGGCCAGGTAGACCACAAAAGTTGCAAATCTTCTTGATGGTGCTGCTAGAGGACGCGCATTGGTCGACTGATGGGGCGCCCAGTGTTTATTGTTGTTTTCATTCTTGTTCTTTCTGCCTTTGTATGCCTTGGACTTTGATACTGATGCGTGATTGCCGCTACTGGTTCTGCTGATCAATGAGAGCAGGAAACCGGCTTTGTATGCTCAGCAAGAGGACGAAGGTCTTGACTTCGTTTGGTAGAGCGGAAACGGCTGCTTTCAAGGGAATCCAA